CAAACTTTCCAGAAAAGCTTACAACGTATCTGGAAGGTACCCAATACAGCTCAATACCCAATTGAACCGGTGACCACTGCCACAACCAGGAAGGTGTGTGGTTCATACGCCTCTCTTGGTTGGTTCGGAAGCAGGGTCCTTATCTAACCGACCCCACCTGCCTAGGCCTGGCAAACCTGGCAGTATTCGGCCCTCATGAAAATCGTGGAACTTTTTTCTTTTTTATAAAGATTATTGTACTACGATTTGTTTAGCACACAGTCTGGCATCAGACGTGTGTGAAATATATATACAGTACTCACCGACCCAGTTATAGCCTTGAATGTTGCAAGGGTGGGGTGACCAGTCAACCCAAGACATCTACCCCCGACCGTAATGAGGCTTTCGAAATCTGAGCAATTACTTTGTGCTGTTTTAGTTGCGCGCGCGTCACGTTCGTGTGTTTCGTTCAACAGAATGAATTCATTCAGTTTTACATGCTTTTTCCCAAACATCATCATCTCAACAGTTCTTACTTTGTATCATTCATTCTTTCACCCACAGGTTATCTTACTTTCATCATGGCTAGTGATCCGCTCACGGTTACTGCGGTTTTCAGTAAGTGGCATTTTCTCTCCAGCACCCTATTGCTTCCTATTTTTATTTTTAGATGGACAGTCTTCAAAACTTACCCTGGACTCGGGTCCCGATTCACCGGTTTCATCACTTATGTTTCTCGTACAAAAGCAGTTACGTATACCCACAGACAAACAACGACTTATTTTCAAAGGTAACCGATAGCAAATAAGGTACCTGTTGGAAACGCGTCCATTGCTAACTCTGTAAATTCAGGCCGGTCATTACTCGACCCCGAAGCCACTCTCTCCACGTGTGGTATCCGAAACGGTGCCAAGATAATGATCCTGGGTTCAGTAGGTCCATAAATGCATATTTTTTTGACCACTTGCTCTTCTTTTTTCCGTCCAGGTAGAACAAATCGATCCGAACGAAGTGAGTAAACTGAAAGCGGCTCGAAGCACTTCCGATTCGATCTCAGCGGAATTGGATAAACTCCGTAGTGAATGTGCAGATCTCGTAAGTTCGAGATATTTTTGCCAAGTTACCAGAGTAACTTGGATTCGCACTGATTGCCACATTCCTTTGCCCCGCGGATTAATCTCAAATGTAGCATAATATTTCAGATGGTGAAACGGTTTTATTCGCTGCTGCTGACTCCATACTCTCTCTCTCTGTCTCGGTCATGTGGTGCTGAATCAATTTACTCATTGCGTTACTCAAGAACAATATGAACACTCAGACGAATGAAACGGATGTGAATGTCACGTACGGTCTGCGGATTTTATATGTTACCAAGTGCTAGATGGCCTCTGATGTCACTCTCGGAAGTACCACCATTCACCACTCCGAATTCGCTGGTTGGTTGTCGGTTTTCATTCATTACCTTACGAATCATTCTCAAAAAATAGAGAACTCAAGTGCACTCAGATTTTATAGAACCATCTTGTTGATTATGCGTTTAAAGGCAAGGCTGTTGTAAGTTGGAGGGAAGACTGAAAGGGAGAGTGTTCCACAGCTGTGCTGTTCTTGGGAGAAAAAGATGATTCAAAATTAGAAAGGCAACACCTGGGGATAGTCACTTGAAATGGGTGGTTAGCCGCCTGTGTGCAGGATCTACGAGGAAGAGCAAGCGGGAGAGGGACAGAAGCGAAAAGTTCACTAGAGCAAAATCCAAAGTAGTATCAATAAACTAAGGATAAGAAAGCGACTGTTCGACGGTGAGCTAGTGCCTGCAAGTTACATGTTAAGGATGAGACGAATGGTCTTACGTTGAACCCGATCAAGGAGAAAGATAGACGAAGCTCCACCCCACATATGACTGCAGTATTCAGGTGTCGAGCGAATCAGAGGTTTGCAAAGCGAGTGAGGTGAATGGGATTGAAGAAGCGTCTAGCGCGGACGAGGAGGCCGATTTTGCGCTCAGCGCGGGAAACAAATAGATAAATATAAGGTGACCATGAAAGAGAAGAAGATCAGGAAAGTCCCGATGGGTTGCACAAACCTGTGGAACAGAGAATGTTCCAGTCAAATAGCAGTGACCAGAATTTAGGGAGAAACTGAGAGAGGAGTGGTCATCGCTAATGCTGGAGTTAGCGACATGAGGAGATGGACAGGACAAAGAACTGTGTAGGGTAGTGTCATTCGCAAAGGTGTGAATAGGATTTGAAGTTGAAGAAAAAAGGTCATCAGTGAGCATCAGAAAAAGGGAAGGGGAAAGAACAGAAACTTATGGAATACCAGCATTCACAGTTACTGAACGAGACATGGTCTCATCTGCTCGAACGGAGATGCTGCGGTCCTTGAGATAGCTTGCTGTCAAGGACACAAGTTCCGAAGGAAAGCCAAACTTGGGTAGTTTAGCCAGCAGACCCGCGTTCCAGACACGATCGAACGCTTTCTATACATCCAATTAGACCATATGGGTTTTCCGTGGTTGTCGAGTGCCGCTGACCTGTTATGCGAAATGAGCGCCTGATCGACGGGATCGGAAACCGTACTGACGGTCACTCAACATCTTGTTCTGCTTCAAGTGGTGGCAAAGTTGATCAGCAACAACTGATTCCATAACATCCAAACTAACTGGTGTGAGAGAGACGGGGCGGTAGTTGTTTGGGTGAGAGTGGTCGCCGCGTTTGGGGATGAAAAATATTTCTGATATTTTCGATGGGGTTGAGAGTGTCTCAGAATCGAGAGATAAACAGAATAAGCGACGTAGGAGGCGAGCCAGTTCTGGAGCGCACATTTCGAGGTCAATGGGAGGAATCCCGTCGAGTTTAGGTGGCTTGTGTGGATCCAGCGATAAGAGGATCTGACGCGTCTTTCTGGCGGAAATGAGCGGTGTGAAAAGATGGTTTGCCATAGCGTGTGTGGAGGGTTGGATGGGTGATTCGAAAAGAGTAGAATGGGAAGCAAACACTTCTGCTTTTTCCAACGGGTCGGATGGTTTAAAAATGGGTGAGAAGTTAGTGGAACAGAAGTTTACGGGAGACTGCCTATGTGAGTGACCGGCTTCCAGAAGGAGCGGTCGCCAATTGTTACTTTGCGCTCAGCAAAATGCTCTTTAACCTTCCTTATAATGGTTGTACAGTTGTCTCGGACTAACAAGAACCATCGGCGGAAACTGGGGGAAGGTGAACGTCGCCAGCGGCTGGATACTGATTTCTTTTCACGAACAGCGCGACAACAGGCGTGGTTAAAGAGGCTTGCCGGGTTTAGTGAAACGAGGAATAAAGAAAAATTCGAAGCCGAGATGGAGTCTTCGGCGGAAAAGCAACATTTATTCCAGGGGCAGGAAACTATAAAGTTACGAAAGCTGCACCAATCAGCGAAACCGTATCGCCAGAATGTGCGTCTAGAATTGAAAGGAACATTGGAACAGATAATCTGGATAGAGAGCGAAATAAGACAATGGTCCGATGAGCCCAGGGGAAGAATTGTTGCAACATTTGAAAATAATTTTGTGTTGAATGCAAGGACAAGATCGAGGGTATGAGCATGGTCGCCAACACGGTCGGGGATACGGGTCGGAAAATCAATCGATTAGGAGAGGCTGTTCAATAGGGCAAATGACTCTGCCTCACGTTCAAGAGCGATGTCCCTGAGGAGTGTATCAGCCAATCCCTGCTATGGACATTAAAATCACCCAAAATTATGAACTGAGCGTTGGGGTCTGCTTCAGCAATGGTATCTATGTTGGCCGATAAAACCTCAAAGAGTGAAGGGTCATTACAATTTGGGGACCGGTACACAGTGCAAAAGTAGTGATTGAAAGAAGAAAACCGAAGTTTCAGTCACTCGCGGTTGGTGAGATTTAAGTGGAAGAACGGGGTAGAAGCAATTGAATGATAGATGAAAGCAAACACCAGCTTTGGGGCCGACCGAAGTGTGAAGAGAATAATTGGGAAACTGAAGATGGGGGTGTATGAAGAAGTGGAAAGTTGTGTTTCGGATAACAATATAGCAAGAAGGGAAGTGGACTGAAAAACTTGATGTACAGAATCAGTATTATTATCCAAGCCTCGAATGTTAGGGAGTGCGATTGTCGAGTGGGAGTGCGCTTGATACTCGATCCTGTTAGTTGTAGTATTCATAGTGAGATGAGACGTAACCGGCAACCTAGCCCTGGAAGTTGGAATGGCGAACCACATAATGTTCCGATGGCTAGGTGGTGTTACTGATCCGGACGACGGTGGAACTGTCCACCACCCTGTTTGTGACACCTAGCAACAGTGAAGTAAGTCACCAAGTGGTCCCAGCAAATGGGTCTGGTGGGACTTTGTAAGAACCAGTGTTGAGTGCAAAACATTGAAAGCCGTCGCCTGAAAAGTAGAAGCAAATTGCTACCTTTGAAGGTTACTACATTTTAAAGTACGTTTTGTATGTAGGTGTGTCTTGTAAACTTCTTAGGATTTATTGCTTTTCAAAGGTGCAACATTTGACAGACAGTTTATCGTTACTATCCGTTTTACCAGTCTATCATGCCCAAAGCTGACATTGACAGCCGGTTGAAGGCCACACTGGGCCTACTCGAACAATGCATGGGATGTTTGGAATCCCTGGATTCAGTTCGTTTGCCGTACGATTCCGAGGCGGAAAGGAAAGAACGAAAGCAGCTGGTCGATTCCATTCAGGTAAGAGAGAGGGAACAGCTTGATAGTGCTGATTCATGCGATTTCTCCGTATGTGCTGTTTGTTGTTGTGTTTCGCTGATTTGAAGCTGAGCTCTTTAAAGCACTGATATCCACCTTGATGGTACTCTCCTCGTAACCGCGCAGTGTGGGCGTGAAGAGGGCTTCAATCAGTCAACCAAGTGGTCTTTGGATTAACCATTAGCACATAACTTCCGTTTAAAACTTGAAACAACTACTTCACCGAAATTTCGAGTTTATATCTCTCTCCACTTGTTAGATACTATTGACAACCCTGGTGGTAAAGTCTGAGTTGATACGGGGCTAGTTTCTGCAAAAATGTTCCCTACAATATACTTGTTGTAAGCATTAATACTTGGCAATACAATTTGGCATTTGGGATCACTGTCGACACATGTATAAATTCTTTTTTTTAGGAACTGTGATAACCTGCTTCAAATTCCAGGGCAGAGCAAGTTTTGCACAGAATTGTCGCTGTGGCCCCATTGTCACTTAAGCTGGTCACTTACCCTAACAGAAATCACTGATCCCAGGAGCAATTCATTCAGACTTTGTTTCCAGTTGGTTTTCAAAATGAGCACCTCACTTCACCTTAGTACATCGCGTGTTCGGAAAAAATCACGTCAGGCTAACCAATATTGGTCTTTGGGCCACACATTCGAATCCCAAATTTACCACTCTAACTCCCTACTTTATAGTATATCCTGTTACCCCGTGATTCGCTACAGCCCCTTTCCTGGAATTCGGTTAGTTAATAAAAAAATTGAGGGCGATATATGAGAACGACTTTCTTGCGTTTTACAAAATATGATTCGAAACATTATAACCGGTTCGTTGTAAGACACGACCAGTCCGACAGCAACGAAGTTCTTTTTGTCTGATTAAACTACTATCTATCTGTCTGCCTGATCTGTCATATACTACTGTTTTTTTACTCTGTTAGGTGTGATTCCCACACTTCATCATACTATTGTTATAACTTTTTTCAGCATTTTCTTACCCACTTTCCCCGGTTTTTATTGGCTAAAGTAGGTGTCCACTGTGCATGTTTCATTCTCTTACATTTTTCGATTGCTACAAACAGAACAGGATTGTGTTACCACAGTAACCGATGGGTTTGTTTGACTCCATCCGTAGCTAAGTGGCACAGCGCTTTTCAACGTATCCCTCTGGATGTTGAATCTTCCGCTTTGCATTTGTATACAGTAGTCAGGTGCGAAGTTTTTCGTCAGAGCCCACATCCATGGGCTCTTGCTGAGGTGATTGAGACTGTTTGCTTGCGTAAATCCCACTCAAGCGAATTGTGTCATATCGTGTATGGACAAAGTGAAACTATCTGAAGATATTGCAGCGACCACAACCTTCTCACAAGACGTGGCAAATGTCATGTAATATGCCCGGTTGGTGAATAATCTAAAACGATTGGATACAAGGAGACGAAAGTGTCCTATTTCGTGTCACTCACGATATCGAGATATTTTCATCTGGAATGCTTTTTTGTTGTTGTTTTGAACAAATAGTGTGATTTTGTTCCTAATGCTTATAATCGTGTATACTGCTGCATAAATGTCATCCTTGCTTTCCGTTGGATGGTTTATCGATTAGTTTTTCTAATCTCCATCTCTCACTCGCACCGTATTCATTTCCAGGATCTGATGGTTAAAGCAGATGACTTGAAGAATAAACTAATGAAATCACGGGATAGCCAATAATGTCTGTCGCCCCCCCCCCTCCCACGTTTTTTGATGATGGGTTGTTCAGATTCCCAAATATTCACACACAAATACACACCCTCTGCATGTCTCTTGAATGCCTTTCCACTTGTTTTCCGTTGCTGTGTTGAAGAAATAAAAAAGCTTATGAATTCCATCGTGATTAGTTTTTTTTTCACGAGTAGTACGGGCTACTGTTGGGTTTTATTGTGTCGACTGTCCACACTCGCACCGAGATAACCTAGGAACAAAGCCAGTGGTTGACGTGTCTTTCTGAACGATCGAGCGAACTCAGTAGGAGCAGTACAATAAGAAGAAAACGTGTAACATTCACCAATATCTGGTCAAAACTGTCGGAAACAAACCACAAATGTCTTTTTGCTAATAGATGGACGTGTGTGTCTGATTCGATCTGATTAACAGATGTTGACGCAATCAACAAACCTCCTATCCCATGTTCCCGCAAAATGGTACCCACTTCCCACGAAAAACGGTGGAACTGTGTTTCACACAGCAAGGGTTTTATTGTGACCGCCGAGTCACCGATGTCATTCTGTCCGTAATTGGACTAATCAGTGATAATATGCCGAGCGGCGGTTGTTCGGAATTCCCTAATTATCGTCTGTGGCGAACAAACAGGTGTGTTCCGTCTCAAGCGATGTGAAACAACAAATATGTTTTATTACTATTAATAATAATAATGATTGGTTATTATGTTTATTTATACATTTTTTAATCACAGGTGTGTTTTATAAACCGGGATGAAACAAACGTGATCTGTGTGACCTGCGGATCGTGGCAGTCGTTTGGTGTGTGTGTATAATGCCTGTGGGACGGATGAATGAATGCAGTATGAGGAGTATACAGTGGTGGTGATTAAGACAAGTGATATTGGTTATTGGCTTTGTCCGTAAAACCTAGACCACGAGAGACCGTTTTGTTCCCGTCTGCTGTTCCGTAACCGAACGGAACGTGTGAATCGTTTCAGCGGTGTGAGTTCACCTCCCATTCGATCGATCTAAGGCAACCAATCTCTGTTCTTCCGTATTCATCTCCCGAGTTTACCACTCGACCTCGTGTTTTTCTGTCACGGCAGTGAAGCAATAAACCTGTTTAAAGACGAATGGCAAAGATACGGGGTAGGGGGGGGGGGGGGGTGATGCAAGTCTCAGGGTGCATTGTTTTGCGGGCAATTCACATATGTTTACTCCATTTTCACTTGCATGTACAACGACAGTAGCAATTATTTTGAGTCTGCTCTATCCGGGCTTGAAAAATAGCACCAACTTCAAACTAGGTTGTTTAGTATTCACGTGTGGGACCCATGTGCTGTCTTACGCCGCTTAAATCCGTTGCCTACTGTTATGTCGCACAGCACTATATCAGGTGCAAAGAACACAAGACAGCACAGTAACACTAGTAGCACACGTGGACAGCGGACTAGCACTAAGTCTGAATGAATGATAGTTCTAGGAGCGGAAGCTACCTGGGCGAAACACAGGATGCACGGTCGGCTATCGATCTCTCAGGCCTCCCAAAACACGGGCGAGAAGACACGGCTTCAGCAGTGCAGGTTTTTCATGGCGTTGAACACAAGTCAATTTACAAGTTTTACTTTGATGCTTATTTGTGACTCAAAAATAACATCGATCAATGCAAGAAAAAGATTATACCAGTCAATTACACAGTGAGCAAAGTTCAATCCGTCAGGTTATCGGATCAGACGGACAGACTGAGTGCATGTTGCCGTACGGCGTAATATTGATTAATCTCCGCGAGATTATTGTTGATCCGAGATGACACTAATTAAGGTTAGATGTGTTGTAAATTTGTTCGATTTTTCCCGACAAAATTAGCAAACATGTAGCCGGGCTTATCTTGGGACGAATAGCAGTGATCTTCATCCCAACATCATGACTCTTGTCGTGTTGATTTGAATCGTTCTCTAGTTAGGGAACTTGCCAACACGGCTACGATCGTGCCGTATACTTCCTCAAAGCTTTCGCGACACAGGTACTGCCCTCTCGTCCGGGGCTCAGTTCATATCCGCTCCCGTGCACACTGCTATCACCATTCTTAAGCAGTCGAGTTTTTATACCACAGTCACAACGCAGGACAGAAGTAATTTAAATAGTCGTTGATCAGGTTTACTGATGCTAACAGCACGTGATTTTTTTATTACACAGTGTAATGAACAGCAGCCCTATTTTTCAGTGATGGAAATCAGTAACCTAAGTCCTGCGGTTTGGAGTGGCGAACCACATAAGGCCTCACTGGGTTATGCGTGGTACTGAACCGGACAACAGCAAAGGTGTCTACCACCGACGTTGGGTGGCGGTGGCCAGGCTTGAACCTCGGACCTCAGAGTCCAAAGTGTGTCGGTGACAGCAACTAAACCACTGCTCCACCACTACCCAAACAATAGGACATGCCATCAAATGTCACAACAAGATAGAATTTGAGTGTTGGGAGCCGTTAAACCGGTGAGGTATAGCGGAGATGTATCAATCATACCATGGGTAACTTGGGGCTTAAGTGAGGAGTGGTGACGTTGGATACATCGTCAAACACAAGTGGGCGCTTACCGTCTCACTAAGTTCGAGGGCCACTGCTTTGAGGTGCTACTCACATTTGTGAGTAGCATGGTTGGGGTGCGCAGAAGGATGCGAATGGCGGTTTCTCACAACGGTAAAAAATGAGCAAGACCTCATAGAGCGAATTATCGTGTTCTTAATTGTAAATACAGAAAATGCGCATCAGTTATCCTGCGTTCTTTGTTGGAAATATGATGACCTGTTCCGAATGAGACGTCTTGTTTTACGTACGTCAATTTATCGATTCCTTTACGGTGTTCGCATCAAAACGACTCCTCGTCCTGGCACTCACTGTCTTGTGGATACATAACACTAGGAGGTCGACATTGGGGGTGAGTGGCTAACATAAATTTTAGCAATAGGAAACCAAGGAACGAACTATGTCGGATGAAAAATAGCGATGGTCTGATCCAACTAACCTGATCATCTGGGAATATGCGTGTATTTGAGTCCGGAAAGGTGTACACGTACCGGGCGATTTGAGCACCCAAGTCTTTCAGCGATCCGTCTGCGTGCTCCCGATCACACTGTTCTTCTTCGTCTGTCAGATCTTCCACACGACGATACAGGCCGACACAAATTGTCCCGGTTTCTTGTAGGACAGTGACGAACATCTCACCGAACGTGAGTGTCATTTCGTCCTATCCGTCCAGGTTGTTGAGAGGTTCATGCAAAACGTGTGGGTAGGGAATCGGAAGAAGAGGAAAAGATATGAAGGCGATAATGTTCACCCAGTTTGAGTTGCTGTATCCGATAATCTTTGTTCGCTAGGTCCCGAGATTCGGACCTGGCCACGCAGTTTTTGTACCACGTGATTCAACGCCACCTGTACGAGTGAGGCCTTTTGTCGTTCGCCACTAAGTTCCGAGGCTTGAAGACCCTGTTCCCACGCATGAACAAGAGATCCTTGTGACTCCGGGGTTTATCCTTTTTTTTACTGCTCACCACAGAAAAGTGTGTAGCGAGTAAATCATTCGATCAAAATCACATGGTCCTATCTGATACTGTTATTCATTACTGTGAGCTCATTACTATTGCGTCTTGATGTTTCATGGAATTACGTTCTCAGTGAGCGCTGACAATGATAAGGCAATTTGCTATTCAAACTCACTAAATGAAGGAACGCGTCTACGTTACTCAAGAAACTTTCTTAGACAATCACCAACGAGGAGAGGATTATTCACGTGCACATATAGGTAAAACAGATTACATTCAAGACGATTCCCAACGCGCCTAGGATAAGGCTAATTCTGGAGCGGTATGAACTACAGAGTGCAAAATAAAAGACCCTGAGAAATATCACTATCGCTGGGGATCTGAAATAAGACGGAAATCACCGTAATGATGCACCCGGATTTGCCTATTTGTCTAGAAATAGACCTATTCAAATGGATGAACTAGTTCGATTAAAGAAGACAATTAGTGTGCCTTTTTTGTGTAGACGGACCGTTTAGATTTTCTCCAATCCTGCAACTGCGTATCACTCCGTTAATGATTTGTGGGTTTCACCTCTTTTGGAGTTCTACAGGTTATTTGAAGTAGCCCGGTCCGGTGACAAAAGTATTGCACATCCATTTCTATAAATTTTTCGATTTAAGATGTCATGTTGCTTTGTGGATAGTACGATATCGCGATTACTCCTTCGTTTCACATTGTCTTGTAGTTTTTGTGATGATCTTGTTGCCACGCCATACCCGTCCATGGTGGCACGGTGGTAAGGTCATCACTTAGCACCCCGGAGGACGAGTGATCGAATCCCACCACCAACACCTGACTTTTCCCATGTGTGCATTTTATGGCACCCTTTGATTGTCCGCTTCTCCTTTCGTGAAGAAATTGTATGTTTGTGCTTGAATAAAGGGAAGTAAAATGAAAGGAAGAAACGAAATCCGTTGGAAAATGTTGAAAATCGGTTCTCGTAGCTCGGGTGAACTGAATTCCATTTCGCTTGTTCGACGAGCTTGGCAATTTGTTTGCAAACGTTTCATCACCAGCCGAGGTGACATCATCAGTGCTTGCGAAGTGGCAGTGTTCTGTCTGTACCCGTTCGTTTATATATGCGTGCTTCACAATGGAGACCGTGAAGGAGAACCAACTGGCGTTTTTGGACATCAGAACGCCATCGGGAAAACTGGAGACAACGGTCTACCGCAAGGCAACACATACAGATCAAATCCTAAACTTC